GGATCTCCCCGCCGCGGGATAAACCGGAGGCCAACTAGTGTGTCAAACGCGGCGGGAACCGAAGGAGACACCGTGCACAGCAAAAGCCATTTCAAGTCGCTTTGCAGCCAATATTCTGGGGAAGAAACACCAAATATCGCCTGTCCCCTCCTCACCTGATTGCCTGCCGCCGGCCACGCTGGTCCAGACTCTGATATGAACCAGCCCGACCCTGGAAAACCCTATTTAAAGGCTTTTTAAAATTAGTTTTTCTTTTCTTTTTCTTTTCTTTTTCTTTTCTTTTTCTTTTCTTTTTCTTTTCTTTTTCTTTTCTTTTTCAAAATTTTTTTTCTTTTTTTTTTTCATTTCTGCATGTTTTCCTGGCTACTTGGCGCAATCATTAAATCCGTAGGTGCTTCTATGCCTCCAGATGTGCAACCTCCTCCTGGCTAGAGGACACCTACCCCCTCACTGGCCTTAATTTACAAGGGAAGGCTGTAGGATTTTTTTTTTTTTTTTTAAAAAAAAAGAAGATAAAAGGCCCATACGATGCTATTTCCTGGGGCCGGACGCAGGCGTGAGCGGGTCGGTCATAAGGCAAGAGGTTGCCCAAGAACAGCTTCACTCTTGGGACGCTCTTGCAATCTTCTGAGCCGGTCATGGCTGGGGAAATAGTTTACGCGGATTTAAGGCATCCTGGGGATGGTTTTTCTCCTGCCGAGAAGCGTCACAGTAAGTGCTATTTTTGGGGAAAATATTTTTGGGGAAGCTTATTTCAAGCTTTGCTTGTTTTGAGAAGACTTTTAGGTTTGCTTGCTTCTCCATCCCCATGTTGAGGTTTCCAAGATACATGGAGAACGTTGGGTGGATTAAATGTCCTCTAAGGGGGGATCCTGGCTTGCGTAGAGGGAGAAAAAAAGCAAGGAGCGGGGGAGAGGGAAGCCAGCAAACATCTGGAGGTTGAACAGTTTTGCCTCCGAGACCCTTCACTTGGTGGCAAAAATGGGTCCCAAGAAGCCCAACGTGAGCCAACACACCCTGATGGAAAGCAAACTGCTGAGATCATGTCTGGGACCTTGGTGGAGACAGCAAAGCTGCTGAGACCACGTCCGAGGTCCTGGTGGAGATGAGGTCTGGAGAGACCCACATCCCACTGACTCCCAGCTCTACCTCAAGAGGGTTTCACCTGCTCTAGATTAAGCCAATTTCAGAAGGTTTCAGGTCTGCTAAGCTCCATCGTTGGGTGCCCAAGGCTGCTCTTGAGGCTACCTGCAGCCCCTCCACCGCCTGAAAAACCACCCTTAGGTGATGCCCTCACTTCTGCATCCAACCTCCAGACCTCAGCGGTGGTGATTTATTTTTTTGGAGGAAGCTAAGCAGCTGTAAACTTCTGCTCAAACTCGCTGGCTTGACAGAGGGGTTTTCCCCCCCCGCCTCTAAAAACCCCAGCTTTTTCACGTGAAAATGTGCTTTTTTTTTTTAAGCAAATGTGGCCTCTTTCAGCTCCTGCCTTGTGCCCACAGTGGCATGGGGTTCTCCTCAAAGTCAGTGGGCTGGGGCACCTCATCCTGCTGGTGCTGGTGCTGGTGCTGAGCATGCAGGGTGAGTAACCAGCTCTTATCTACATCTCAAAACCCAGGGAGCGGGCTTGGAGGGGACATCGGGTTTTATTTCAGTGTTTCAGCCTTTGGAGGGGATGAGGTTGCCCCATGGAGATGCAACGAGATGCATCACCCACCAAGAGTAAACCCCCTCTGAAATAAACCTGGACTATCTCCGTAGCTTTTAAACGGGCCGTGTTTTGCAGGCTGGCTTAATGAACCAGGTGTAACCGCGGCCGGGAAAAAGGAGGGTTGCACAAAATCAAACCCAGCCCTACCTGGTTTTTGTGGTTTTTTATCCCCAAACGGCCACAGCCTCTCACCCCAGGTCATTCCTCCAAGTTTTTCAGGGCTCTCTGCAGCCAGCGACGACAAACATCACCCGGCAAGGCAGTGAGATCCGGGGAAGGAACCACACGGAGCGATGCCTGATTTCATCCATGATGCGGTATTTCTGCAAGCCCCGGTGGGATAGCCCGGCAGGTAACCCAGCTCTGCTGGGAGATGCTCAGGTGGGACCTTTGATGGGGCTTCCTTCCCACCCAATTGCAAGGATGCCCTTGGAGATGGGTTATTTGGCAAAGACGAGTGTTGCAAGGAAGAATTATTTTTTTACATGCAATTTTTGCTGACCCCTCTTCCATGGAACAGCAGGGTCAACCCTAAGGAGGAGGTTCCTCACCACCCTTCCTCTACCCCAACCAGCCATTAGTGTCCTTGTGGTCACCCCACCTCAATTCTCCTCCTCCTCTCCGCTGGCTGAGTAGCAAAAACCACAACAACGTGAAAAATCTCAAGGATGGGGAAAGAGCCAGGGGATGGGGAAGCTCTTGGTGCCTTTCAGCTGGTGGTTGGGGAAGACCTTGACCACCCTTTGGGGGCTCTCCTGGCTCTTCCTCCTCTTCAGCCGGTGCTGGCTGCAAGCTCTGTCCCCAGGACTGGCAGCTCCACGGGGACAGATGCTACTGGCTTTCCAAGGAAAAGGGAACCTGGACTCAAGGCAAGAAAGGCTGTGAAAATCAGAAGTCTCAGCTGGTAGTGCTCCAGGAGAAGAAAGAAAAGGTAAATACAGAGGAGAAGGCTTGAAAAGGACCTGAAAGTCCTTTTTTTTTTTTTCTTAAGGTGGGCAGGGGAGCAAAAAGTACCTGGCAGCAGGAGGGTTTGGGGCTGCAATGGTAGCTCTCACCCATCTCCTGCTCTGATGTCTCCTAAGAAGTGACCGGGAAGAAAAAAAAGGGCTGAATTGTCACCTAAAGCCCTTCTGTGTCCCCCACCCACCCGTGACACGGGAGGAAGAGGAGGGATGCAGAGCTCCGATGGAGACATCGGTGTCTCGGGCTCTGAATTTAAGCTATTTTCACCCCAGAGCTGCCTTTAGACATGGTGCATGGCAGCGTTGAAAGCACGGGGGACATTCATGTCCCATCTATTTGGGGATGAAACAAGTCAGATTTACTCCGTGGCTTTGCACCCCACGAAACTCTCCACAGAGAGATTTCGGAAGCAACCGGTCACCTCCATTTCCCAGGAGTACATCAAGAAGATTACAGGCGGAGGCACGCAGCCGGTGTGGATCGGATTAATGTCATTCCTCAAGAAGTGGAGATGGGTGAACAACACAACCCTCAACACCAAAATGTGAGTGTCTCCGCAATCCGTAAAAAAAGCGGCTTTGCTCCATTTCAGACCCGGTGCATGCCCCAACCCATCCCTCCAAGATTTTGCCGTCTACCCAACGGTCTCGTATTCCCCTTGGCAAAGCTTTGCAGACCAAGAGTTGGGTTTATGGAGCACGGTAACCCAACCCCTCCCACCATACCCATGCAACCACCACGGCTTTTAATGGTCCATGCATGCTCCTTGCAGATCTTACTGCAAGCACAGCAACCTGCGCTCAAATCTGGGCGAGAAATCGTTTGCAGCACGATGAGATGGTGCAGAAAAAGGGCAGGAGAAACCCTCTACCTCCCCTCTTCTGCAAGCCTGAATGTCTGCTCCTCTTGGGCAATAAAATTTTTATTCTGCAGATTTAACGCCCTGCAGGAGATGGATGAAGGGTGCGGGACGCTGAAAGACAAGATGTTGGAGAACAATCTCTGCACCGATGAACACAAGTGGGTGTGCCAGAAAGATCCTTTCCAGCTTTCCCCATCGATGGCAGAAGATGGAGAGAAATGCGATGCCTCCGTCTGACACGCACCCATCCCGAAACGCCCAGCTTGCGAGACGCTGGCCGCCAATATTTGGGGCGAAGCTAACCCCATCTTCACCGTTACGGCTCTGCGAGAGATTTCAGGGTTTGCAAATGCATTTCCTACGCAGCTCAAGACAATTTTGGGGGGAGGCAGATGAGCCCCTGAGCTGGGAAACCAGCAGCAGCCCTAGGCGCTGCGTCGATAGAGCTACGGCATCAATAAAAGCCTATAAAACTAGCTTTGCTTCAATTTGTTGAAATAACACAGATTTGCAAATAAGAGTACGGGTAGGACAAAATGTATTGTAAATATTGCAAGGTTTGATTAAAAAAAGTTTCCCTGAGCGCCGGCTGCGGTAAGAGGTCTGTGCCCAGGCGTCCATCTCCCTGGGCTGGGAGCATCAGCACACGGACTGATGCAGACAGATGGGTTTTGGGGGCTTGAAGGGTGTTTTTTTGTCTTTCGGGGTCTTTTTTTTTGTTGGTTTGGGATTATCTGTCATTTGGGAGCTTTTTTTGTTTGGTTTGCGTTTTTTGGGGGGGTTTTTGGGTTTTCAGGTTTTTTAGGGGCAGGTTGGGGTTTGGTTTTTGGGGGGGGGTTGGGGGGTTTTAGTTGGGGTTTTTTTGTTTTGTTTTGTTTTTTTAAAAAAACCACCTCTAAAAGATTCCAAGCCCCTCCAAGTCCATCATTTCACCAAATTCCCTCCCTACCTTTTTTCTCCTTCTTCCAAAAGCAATTAATTCACTCAAGTGACTCGCTTACAGACCTGGCTGGCTTATAAGCAGAACACTGCTTTCGAAAGCGCGGAGAAAGTGCTCGATACGTGGCTTCTGATGCAGTGATCCAGCAGCAATGACAGATCGATGATAGTCTAGCTTGTCTGAGCAGAAAGTCTCATGAAAATACAAACTCATAAGTATCGGTAACAGATACATGGTGATAGACGTAGGGTTTTACCAAAGGAAACTGTGCTCGGTTCTCTCTCATCTGCTGGTCAGAGAACTGAGATGAAGCTTCCTGTTTATGGCATCTTTTCTTCTGGATATGCTTTTTGCTTCCAGAGGATGTAGCTGTCGGGTTTGCTGCAGAGCCAGTTCTTCTTGGTGTGGCACAGCGAGGAGCTGATCCTCTCCTGGTTGAGGTATGCACAGGGTCCACCACCCCGCACCTCAAACCTGGAAAGCAGACACGCTCAGGAGAGCAAGAAAAGGAAGAAAAGAAGAAAGCTACTCCCCCCAAAATTAAGAAAAGCTGGGATTTCCTCTCTAGGAGAGAAGGGGTGGCGTTCGGCTGAGGGTATCTAATAGGGGATTGGTGTGCAGCATCCTTGGTCCATCCCAAACCGCCCATGGAAAGCCCAGGGCTGCTTGGGCACAGTGGCAGAAGGTGGTCCCCATCCCAGGATGGGTCATCCCAGACCCTCTAAAAAATCCTATCCAAGGGAGGGAGAAGCAATGCAACAGCCCCCCGGAGCCATTTCCAACCACACCAAGAGGCAAAACCTGCCCCAGTTGCCAACCCCAAGCACCCAACGTGGACAGAGGGACCGACCAGTTGTTGAAGGCTGTGCCGTTGGTCCACCACCAGCCATCGTTCTCTCTTCGCAGCCCAAACCAATGGTTCGCTTCGCCTTTATAGCGTTTAATGAAGGTCTTTAAAACAAAGAAACATCACGATTTAGCTAGTCTGGTCTTCCGCACCTCCTCTTTTCCATCTGTGTCCATCACCCCACCCAGAGATGGTGCTTTCCCCAAGGCATCTGCTCCTGGCTATAGCGTTGGGTGCAATTTGGGGCCAAGCAGGTTTTTGGTCTGGTTTTTTTTGCTCTCTTTTTTTCTTTTTGTGGTCTCTTTTTCTTTTTTCTTTTTTTTTTTTTATGTTTCCCACTCTGGTGCTAGCGTAGGGGCTCAAGCACAGTTCTCACCAGTTCATCCATGGTGCTTATAAGGGCCAGCGAAGCTCCCAGGGCCTCGCAGCTTTCCTGACTGGTGGTCCAATTGCTCTCAACATCAGAAAAATAATAGCATTTCCCTTGGAAACCAAGCCAGGTATCTGGGCAGACGTGGGAGAAGTCCGGGTGAGGCAACCGGCGTCCCAAACGTACAACTGAAAAAGAAAAAGCTGAACGAGATGCGTGGGCAGCCCTAAAATGCAGGAAAATGGGATTTATTATTTTTTTCCTAGAAGCCGCAGGAGGGGAATTGGGGACGAAGCCCTTGGGAAAGCAAACGGTGTGACCGAGCGAGGAGCCAGGATGCCCGGATCACAGTTTAGGGAAAAAAGGGCGTCCCCCCTGCAAAGCTGGCTTGGTGCTTTGCTTGGGGAGCACCCCTTGATGCTGGGAAAATCCTGTGATCCCCCTTTCCCCGAAACAGGGGTGCCCGGTCCAGATCCTCCCCCCGGGGGGGATGCCTGGATGGGACTCACCAGTTACGGACACCAGCAGGGTGAAGACGAGGAGCACCAGCACCACAAGGAAGGACACAAGGATGAAAACCCGTGACGAGCGGGATCTTTTCCAGTCTGATTTCTTGATGTTGGACCCTGGGGGAGGAAAGAGCAGGAGAGAGGGTGGGCTGGGTCCTTTCCCCCCATCTTGGCCCTTTTTCTGCTGAATCTTCAGTCCATCCCAAGCCCTGGCTGGGATGGGGACCTTTGGGGGGCTTGGGAGAGGGGGGGAGAGCTCGCAGAGGCTCAAGGGGCTGCCCGCAAGGCAAGGGAGAACAGACGCGTGTCCTTCAAAGGCACCAATGCGTGTTTGAGGACCTGGAGATGGATTTAAGCTTTTCAGCCTTTAGAGGTAGCCACGTCATTAAGCGTAGGGTAGATGTGCTCGGGTCCATCTGCACCCACCCAAAAACTCCGTCCCCATCCCACTGGTGCTCCACCGGGGCGAGATGCTCTTCCCACCCCCTGCCCTCACCCAGAGCGTTGGGGGTTTTTTTCCCGGCATTACCCCATTTGTCTTCTTTCTCTACGTTGCCGCAGGTGTTCAACATTTCCTCTGGATCTGAAGAATTTGGCTTTTGGGCTCCTTTCCCCATCGTGGGCAGA